CTCTCCAACGTCCAACCAAATAGGTCTATTATTAAATCATCCCCCCCACACACTCAGTCTTACTAAAAGGAACACAAAACATTTTTGTTGCGCTGGTCCCAAAAGCAATATTATGCTTGAGTTGCACAGAGAGACAGAAAAAAACATGTTGCTGTGTATATGAGAAGAGGACAAGATGGCTGGAGGTAGGGGATGTTTTCTTCACAAAGTACTCAGCTCTCTTAGGACCTTAGAAACAAAAACCATAGCAAACATAGTAAAACTAAATTCTTGTTTTTTTATATCTACTCCACCAGTAAGATATTTATAAATGCCATCATCTGTTTTTAACAGACTCACACCATGCTAATCAGGGGCGGACTGGGACTACAAATCAGCCCGGGACTCTCGACCGGCCCACTTCGGTACCGCAAGTCTATACCACTAGTAAATTGTCGACGGGGGGGGGGGACGTGCTAGTGACTTATCCGACCGGCCCACATCGTCCGATCGGCCCACTTAAGTACCGGCCCATCGGGGTTCGTCCGATGGCCAGTCCGCCCCTGATGCTAATGCTAACAGTACAAATGATCCATCTTTTCAGGACAACCTTCCGGGTAGTTTCCTGCCCCCACTGGCAAAAGTAAACTCAAAATGCCTGTGTGTCATTGAAGCACCCAGATGCAGTCTGGCCTTTTGATCCTCTGATTCATCCCACCTCTTCCCTCTCATCTGCTGAGTCATGGAGATCTCCAACCGGAGCAAACCACATCCTCGTCCTTTCATCTCTCCTTCACCTTTACCTCTCACAGCGGCCCTCACTTTTTGGACGTCACTAAATCTAGGTTGACCGTTGCATGTTAAAAAAAGAATCCCCAACATCCGCACTATACTGTATCCTTTATATGTGTGTGCGGGGGAGGGGGGGGGGGGGGGCAACCTGTCCTTTGAATTTTACTTTTAAGTCTGTGTTCAAAAGAACATTGTATAAGCTCCGTATCATGTGGGAGAGAGGGTTTCTGCCCATCGAACCCAGTATGAACCGAGGAGATGCGACCGGGGCAGGATGTGGTCAGTTCTGTCCAGACTCAGTACTGCCCCCCCACTGTAATGAAAACTGCATTTTATTCGCAGACTAGGATACAGGAACTGTTACAATAAACACCCACTGAAGAGCATACAATCTAATAAGAAAAGGAACTGGGTTGGACATCGGTGACCGTTAATGAAATCAATCCCTCCTTCCTGCTGGCCTCAGAGAGGACAACAATGAAATGAGTCTGTGTGTAAGAAAGGACATCATGTAACAATAGTGTTTCATCAATGTTTGGTGTCACACAACAGCTGAAACCCATATTGTTTGGTTAATTGTAGAAAGCAAATGCAGGAGAAAAAGTGTCAAAGGAAGAGTGCGTCTGGACAGGAAGGGGTGGGCAGGGTGGTGTCATTTGGACAGATCACTCCACCACCACATTAAAGATACAAAAAAGATCAAACAAACCCAGGCTTGTACTTCTTATTCTCCAACATCCTACAGACTTTTCACCCACTCTTTTTAAGATTCCCTTTTTCTAAGCACGAAGTCCTGCAGCCAGAATTCAAACTGATCCACCGAGCTCTAGTACCCAAAAGTTGAAGGACTTATAAACATATTGAAATTGGTCCAGTCTGTTCTATCCCTGTGTTCCTTAAGCTACTCAAGCCAGGAACTGAAGAAAGGCGTGCTCAGTTATTCCATACAGACGCTCCATCCCAAAGTTAAAGAAACTACCAGCCATCCAACCTTATCACAGGTTTTGAACCACAGACTGCTTCATCGTCACTTCAAAAGTCTATCATCTTTGTTAATATGTGGTGTCAATCTTCTTTTCTCTTATTGTGTTTCCGATAACGTGTCAGATAACTTGACTGTTTTGTCAGAGAACATACTAAAAAAGTACTTAACTGCTTTAACAATAAGTACTCAAACATCAATAAGACAAATGCAAACAAGCTCACTTCTTCAGTATCTCCACCTTTACTACTCCTCTGAGCCACAACTACATCTTGGGAGGACTGGGGTTGCAAGAGGAGAGTGAAAGAAAAAAACTAGTAGAGGTGAGGTATTTAATTCCATGTGGGTGGCCTGATAAAAACAAAGTCGGTCATAAATCTGAAGCTATAAACACTGTGCTTTTAGACCTAATCCATGCAGATCACTGTAAAAAACCAACCTGTCTGTCTGCTTCTTTCTCCCATTAACACTCCAGCTAGCATCCCCATTAACCCTGTACCGACCTCTTCTACACGTCAATATGTAATGTATGACATATGAGAAAATTATTTTATGCAAACCAATTTGTGAAACAGAAGTGCTGCGAGTAGACAACTGGCAATTGTTCATGTCAGGATATTCAACAAGTAAATACTAACACATGTTAATATGACTGGCTATCATTTTCTAGCTAAAGGGTGAGGGTCCTAATATTTGGGAAAACAACATTCACTTTAAAAGTTATATGATTTTGTATAGTGAAGCAAAAAAGGTAAACATGAGTCAATTTAAGCCTTATGGTTTCACAATAAAATGGCCATTAAGATTCAGATGAACTAAAAATATGTATTTTCTACCATCGTATCCACTTACATCTCATTCCCTCACTCCCCCGCCTTCCACCACCATTTCATTCTTCAACCCTCAGTTCTATTTTAATCCTGTCACTTTTTTTGTTTAAAGCAGCAAGTGTTTCCTTCCAGCTCTCTTCTTTTCTCCCCCATTAGTCTGTCTCTCTCTCTACCTGATATTTGGCTCGGCAGCCTGCCTCACACCAAGACAAACGTTATGACCTCACGTCACTGCAATGTTCCAGAGACACAGACAGAGACAGCAAAGAGCAAAATAAGATGACATTGAGGAGGAATTATGGGGAACTAATATATAAAAATTAGGATGGGTATAAGCTGAAAATGTTACATACTTATAGTAAGCATCTCAGTGTCTCTCTCTCTTAGTGGACAGATAACAAGGGAGAAAAGGTCAAAAGGCCAAAAAGGAATAGCAAATTAGCAATAAAACAGACAAAGATCCAATTAATGAGATATCTTTCTGTAAGAAAGCGGGCATTGTGGTGTGGTTGAAAAGAGCAAAAATCCAGTCACCACAGAAGGTTAAAGCTTGTTCTTTCTTTCTTTCTTTCATTCCCTTTCTTTCTTTCTTTCTTTCAACTTGTCTGCGCTCCATTTTAGCTTGGCACAGTTGTCATTACATTCAGTCCAAATTACACACACACCTTCCCTGTGCACCAGAGCTGCAGGCCAGTGCTTTAAACACAGCATGTTGGCAAAACTCAGGGTTTGAACAAGCCATTGATAGATTCCAGACAAACAATATGCACACGCACACGCACACACACACACACAGAAAGAAGAAGGAGGAAAGCATTTTATAATACACACACACACCACACAATGGAGTGCACATTTACACACACGCCAGCCGGTAATTCTGGACATCATCAAACACTTTAGTAACCACAACAACTTCCCATTTCCCTAAACCTATTTCCTGTACTGGTGAGGTCCCTTGTCAGCAACTGCTACTGTCACTACGGCAACAAGGAAGGACAATGGCCCTGAGGAGAAAAACAATGAAGACCAAGGCAATAGATGGAAGTAATATCAATGAGCAGCAGAGCAGCTTTGCAAGAGGATGTAAAGTCAATGGCAATAAGCTAAACCTTCATATGTTTTGGTCCATACTACTTTCACAGTAACAAACCATCTACAGGAACAGCTGGCCTCACAACCAGAGCAGAGGGCTGCAATATAGAGTTGCGATAAAGAAAGCAGTCATGACACAATGAAAGCATAGCCTTGGATGATGTGTCTGCAGTGGAACCTTTTCACCTGAGCTCAGACAAGATGATAATCCCAATGTTGTTTTTATTTTCTCCACACCTATTCAGAGTCACACCCATGTCTGTATAATGATTTTTGACTTCGGGAAAAGACCTCCAGCAGAGGTAACGTCTGAGTGTGCCGCACAAAGAGGTGTGTTATGAGTAAAGGTTGCGGAGTATGGCTATGAATGTAATCGCTAAATTGCATTAATGTTTGTACTTATGAGTGGCCATTGTTAAAAAACAAGAGTGTTTGGATTTAACTTTATTCAGGTTTTGATATTAGTTTAGTTTAATTGTACAACGTTTCTAGCATAATGTAAGTTATGAAGTTACATACTTTATATTTTACCCAGTGGTGGTTTAAATAACATAAATGCATGCTCAAAATTGTTATGTATATTTATGATGATATTGATTATTGGTCCCAGCCCAATCATTTAACATTTGAATTGCTATGACATAACAAGCCAGAAATCTCCCAATGTTTAGACACTATTGAGTAAATACAGCATCACAGACACATCCACACACACTATGTTTAGACAAACTGCTTATTAAAACCCCTCTCTAAGACTCTGTGATTCTGGCAAATAGACAATCAATACTGGATGAAACTAATAGATGAAAACAGAACCACACAGCGGGCCTTGGTACACTCCCTAATGCCCTTTGTCTGCGATTTGTTTAGTCAAACTAATAACATCCTCTGAAGTTTGTTTAAAGCTGTTCAGCTTTTAATGGCTTCTGTATGGTAGTGCTGCTCCCAAATGCACTCTGAAATGTATTATATGAGTCCTGATTCACAGCACTTCATAAAAGCACAGACACACACATGCACAATTGGTTGCAGCTATGAAACCATAAGAATAACAGTGCAGGACAACATTATGGGCAGTTTAAAGACAACTGTATTACCTCAAAAAACATCTAACTTTACACTATACATGTATTCTCACCTTATTTAAAACATTGAACAAAGGCCAACCACTCATCACTTATACCTTTTTTTTGAGTCTCATTCAAACACAAACCAAATGTAAAACTATAAATCATCAGAACTCAGAGACAACAAAAGAGCATTGGACACGCCAGCCTGGCACACACTCACACATGGCATTAAAATGTTTAAAATTGACTCACCACTCTGGGCTTGGTCTTCTGTGGGATAGCCGTGGATGCAGTGTCCTCTTGGCTCTTCTTCTGTGGTGCAGCTTCTGTAATTCCACTGGTGCTGTTGTCACTGCGCACCTCTAAGGCAGACACTGAACCTTCTGCTCCATCCCTAGCCACTGGTAGAGGCCCTGGGCCCTCAGCAGTGCTCAGTTCAAGAATATATTTATGGGTAACATCCTCCAGTGATGGGGCCACATCCCCTGGAGGCTTACTCGAGGTCTGACGGTCTTCAGTTGGGTGGGCAGCACGGCAGTCCACTTCCTTCAGTGGCTGGAGTTGTGGAGGAGGGGAGATGGGGATAAAGCTGGTGGGTTCACTGGCATGGCGGACATGCTTGGGTCTGCTTTTGGGTTTAGAATGCAGTGTTGGAAGGGGAGGAGTAAGGTCGGTTTGGTAGCTGTGATCCTCCTGCTCTTCTGAACACATTTCTGGGGGCTCAAATGGATCTTCAAGAGGGGAAAACTGGGTCGGCCTGTTTGGACGCTTTCTGGTGGGCCTACGAACCATTCTAGGGGACAAAACCCCAGCCAGCTTCAGGTTAAAGTTAAACTTCTGAACTTCTTCCTCCTCTGCCCCTTGGTCTATAACATCATCTTCTTCATTATCATGGTTATCGGATTTGAGGGTACATTCTGACTTGGAACGAGCTTTCTTGACTATTTTTACATTTGGCAATGTGTAATCAGGCTCCACTTCTGGCTCCCACAGTTCCTCTCTCTGCTCGCTCAGGATAGGCTCACTGCTGGAAGGTGGGATCTGACCAGGTTGATCTAGCTCACTGATAGGCTGAGTGCTGCCAATCTGACCTTTGAATTGAGGGTCATTCTGGGAGAGTAAAGGAGCATCACTACGGCGACTGGGGTCACTCAACGACTTCTTCTTCGGAGCTTTGCCATTGCCATGATCATCTGTCATCAGTCTGTCCATTGCACCTGGCTCGGCTACGATGCTCCTGATCACCCCACTGTAGTCACGAACAGCCTCATCCCGGATCCCGCCATCACTGTAAACTGACAAGTCACTGGCCACACTGCCCTTGTATTCTGACAAATCGGACCCCTCTGTAGCACCTCCTCCTCCTTTGACAGATAAGGATCCCAACAGGTTGCTGTCTACAGAGGAATAGTTGTTATTCCCTTCTTCTGACACTGAACAGCGCCGCTGAGGCATTGGGTCACTGAGAGAGCGGTAAGTGGTTGACTCGCCATTACCAACAGCTGCTATTGCAGACTCTGCATTACTGCCATTACTGGAATCAGAGCCTGTGTTATTACCAGAAGGGGAGAACTTGCGCCTTCGACGGACAGAACTTGGTGTCGCAGGGGCTTCCTGTCCACCTCCTCCTGCGGTGCCTGCTGACCTCTGCAACACTGCGCAGTTGGTGGTGACCTCTTCAGTAGTAGTGTCAACATTGTTGATACCAGCATTGCTGCTCAGATCCATGATGATGCAGTCACTCTCAGCCATACCGCCAGGATGAGCCAAGGAGGGAGTTACACTGACTTCATTAGGACTATTTGTGCAATTCATGCTGTTCTCCGCAATCTCTTCTGTCTCCGGCTTTAACCCATCCGTCTCATGTAGAGCCGATTGCTTCCATAAGGTGACAGGCTGCCCTAGCACATCCCTAGCAATTCGTGACCCAAAATTAACCCCTGCTGACCCCAGGAATGAACTCTCAGAAGGGTCACTCGGGCCTGTCTCTGGCTCTGTTACAATCCCTTCATCTGTTAAACTGGACTCATGGCCTGAAAGTTCATCCACAGAGCGGTCGTAGAACATGCTTTCCTCTGAGTTGCCCTTCAGTAAGGCTCTCTCCGTCTCTCTGCTCTGTCTCTTTGCCTTCTCCCTGTGCTCTGTGCCCCTGCTGTTTAGCGTCTCCAACTGCATACTTTGTCCATCCCTCTCACTCCTCTCCCTCTCCCTGTTCTCTCTCTCCCTCTCATGTTTATCCCTGTCTTTTGTGTTATTAAACTCAGTCTCTTGATCTGTCCTAGCCTTATCCTTAAAGCTCACTCCTGCCTTCTCCTTCTCCTCATTTGTTTTCTTGAACTTGAAAGATTCATCCTCCAAATCATCTTCATCTTCTCTAGTACTCATCTGGCAGATATCTCGAATGACCTGTCTGGCTTCCTGCACATACTTCTCCTGCAATGGAGTTGGCATCCCTTCCTCACTCTCATCATTAAATCCATAATCTCTCATTCTTCGTCCTCTCCCAACCCTAAAATCCCCCCCATCACTTTCTACTTCCCTTTCTGACACAGACACCCTCCCTCCATCACCCTCTCCATCCAAATCAAGCTGCTGCTCAGAGGAGCTCCTTTTTGTGGCGCCACCTGTCAAGCAACACCTTACTGCTGCTTTGGGTTTGTCTGAATAAGTGAAGGATTTTGCGCGCCGCAGGGTGGCAGTCAGGTCTTTAAGTGTCGGCCGACAACCTGAAGGTAGCAGGGTCCCACCATGAGTCCGTGAACCCATCCTGTAAACTGGTGACCCTTCAACGACCCCCGATTTATCTCCACTCTTTTTCCGCACCTTAAGCTCTGACAGATCAGATTTCAAAAAGCTCAAAAGGGACATCGTTTCTAAGGTGATATCAGGGTTGGACATGGATATTTGGTTTTTATCATTATCATCTACCCCACCTGTTGTCCTTCTTAAATTGATGGTCTCACCATCCCTAACCCCTGCTGATACTACGCCGTCTTTGGAAAGTTTACTAGAGGGGGTGACTGTAGGCACAGTATTGGGGCGCACCCATACAGGGGGATGGGAGAAGTTATCCCCATGGCCAAAGCTTGGGGAGCGATACATCGTAACATTTCCATGGTAAGTTTTACTCAGCATGGAAGAGGATGCAGCTCTGCTAGTGGGGCCTGCTTCTTTGTCTGTGTTAAAAAACATATTTGCTGCACTGTTGGCCGAGCCAGCCTGGTCCTCCTCCTTCAGTGTCTCAGTGCTGGAGTATCGGCTGCTGCAATGCGAACCACCAGGACTGGAAGCAAATGGGGGAATGTTGACCTTTGACACTCGAGATACACCAGGAAGTGTTGTGGATGTCACAGTTGAGGAGATGCGCTCCCATTGCTGCACCCTGGCTCTGTTACCGTTACTTTTCTGTTCTCTTGCCGAGTGGCTCCGAGATACTGTTCCTGCAGAAGCTCCACATGTGTTTTGCTGGCGGTGCCTCTCCAAGTGCTCCATTGTCAAGGCTGTGTCACTGTCAGTGTCTTCTGATTCGCCATCATGATCATCATAATCATCACGGCCTGTTGCAACAGCAGCTCCACTGACCTTCTTTTTTTTTCTCAATGAGCGTCGTCGCACTGCCTCTCGACTGTGGGGGCCTAAAGAACTAGGGCTGTCCTCTTCACTGCCTGAAGACTTGCCAATGCCCTTAGCACCCCACCAGCCATTTTTACTGCGGGATAAAGAGCTACTTCCTCGCTCAGTGCCACACTTTTCACCTGCTTTGTATGAGATGGAAGGAGCAGGGCCGGAAGGAACACTCCAACCGCCTCCTCCAACTCTTCTTCTTCTGGTGTACTCCTCCTCTTCGTCCCCAGAGCTGAACCTCCAGCGGGAGCGGAGGGGGACAGCTACTTTTGCTGGGGCTTTAAGCTCGGTGGAAGGAGCTACAGTAGAGGAGGAGGAGGTCATGGATTTATCTGGAGTTGGAGCAGAAAAGGGGGAGGAGGAGGTGGGGGCTAGCGCTCTAGAGGAGCTATGTGAGGAATGTAAACTATCCCTGGGCAGCCCGACCCCCTGTCTATCCCTTCTCTCCCTCACTGAGGACCGCTGAAGAAAGGAGGAGGCGTCCAAGCTTTCCGATTGACTCCAAGACGAAGTAGCAGGGGGTTGAAGGTCAGGGCTGGGGTCAGATGTCAACACTGTTGTCCTATGGGTCTTATGGGCAGCTTCTGCCTCAGGGCTGGGACTATGAGATCTGTATTGAGATGGGTTAATCCTCTGGTAGTGACTACCCTTAGTGCAACTGTGACTGCTACTGCTTTGAAAAGTATTTCTGCCAGAAACGTTGTCGTTATTAGAAGTTTGTATCTCTAAGTCAGCCTCCTCCTCTTTGTGCGAGTGCTGGTTGTAAGCTTTGGGATAAAGGTCCATGCTGTGACAAAAAGTGTCTTTAGCAGGGCTGCTTTCTCTGCTTTTTGCTCCACCTATGCATTTGCCATGCGAAGACAGGCAACAGAGTTCATTAGCGGAGCTGCAAAGCGAGAGTTTGTCACTTGTATCTGAGAGAGAAACACTCTCACTGGGGCTGAGTTCCTGTAGATTTCCTCTGTCAGCTGCTTTTAAATTCTCATATGAGTCAGTATTGTGCTGCTGCGTAGCATTGCCTTGTCCTTCATCAAAGATTTGTCTAATTTTAGTGACACTGGGCCACTTGTCAGAGTGCAGAGGAATAAATTCAGTGTGACGTGTAGAGAGATAGCTTTTGTGAGATTTACAGGGTGAGGGAACCCCTCTACTAACAACATCATCTTCCTCATCTGTAGTCAAAGACTTTCTGGGATCAGAGGGACATGCATTGATCTGTGAATAATCTCTCTTACCAGAATTGTTGTCGGTGGATAAACGTGAAAAAATCCCCTTCTCACATTTCTTCTCCAAGTCCGAGCCTGACACCGAGTCAGTGTCAGAGTGAGACTTTTGCACTTTATTGTCTGTCAATGTCTCAGCAGTAGTGGTATCACTAACGTGGAAATATCCACCACTGCTGTCCTCGTGAAAAGATTTACGAGAAGCAGACCCGTCTCTCTTGGAACAACTTTCCCGGGGAAGAGTGCTTCTCCCCCGCGTCACAGCTCCACAGTCCCCCGGTGAGGCTCTGTGCGTCTCTGCAGAGCTGCTGCTGCTGCTAAACTTCTCAGTGAGCTGTCGGATGGATGGAGAAATAGAGGAGTGAGGAGTGGAGGAGCCTCTCTTTGGGTCTGCGGTCAGGAGGCCGGCAGTGGTGGTGGCAGAGATTTTGGAAACTTTTCTTGACACACTGACATTACGCGTCGCCAAGGGCTGTTCTGCTTTGCTGGGCTCCGGGGGAAGGGCGACGCCAGCTGCCTCCAAATCGTCTGATTTGTGTTGTTGGTCTTCACTCCTGTTGGTGCTCCAGGAACCCAACTTTTTGAAAGAGACGCTGCGATAAACAGCGGCACTTTTCCTCTCTCTTTCTGCCATTGTTCATGTCTTTCTTTGTTAGAGTTCACAAAAGCATTTTCACTCCACGGATATTACAGCTCTAGGCACCTTGTTGAGTTGTGGTCCATTTTCCCCCACCTAGCATGCAACACTCACTATTTAAAACGTAAACGTAAGTGTTGGCAACGCTTCAATCTGCACTGTAACGATGTTAATCAAACGATAAAGTTTTCAGTGAGTAGCCTAGAGTGCTGCTCTGTTATCAACACTTACATGTTGTCGTTTCCCGAAACCGCATCCGTGCAAGGAGGAAAAGCGCTACAACATTTGTTGGCCAAAACTTTCCCAACCTGTTCACAAACACAACGTTTCCATTGTTAATCCCTTACTATGTCTGAGCCCTTCGCCAGGTTAGCACGCCTGCACGGGCCCGACGCATCATCCACTGTTAATTCCCCAAAACTGTTTGTGGATTCCTTATTTTGGCATGATTTGGTTTTCCGTGACTTCTGTTGTTTTTTGCATGTTAATGCCTGAGATAGGGCAGAGGGGGTGGGCGGGACTAGGGGTATAGGGGATGTCATAGCCCCCTCGGGGATTGAGAGGAAAAGCTTTTTTTCCCTTTTTGATAGGAGAAGGCAGATACTGTGGACAAACTAGATGTAATTATAGCCCTTTCCCTTGCGAACAAGACAGAAGCACTGTCAGGACTTTTAAACAGAAAACTACATTTTAAGAGCATCATTGTGGACCTGCAGCCGTTTTGTTAATATCCCAAGATCTTAGCTTATCAACACACTTTTGATTGTGTAGTTAGAATATAAAATCACTATTCCTGTCTGTTGAAGTAAAGGTTCTTAGAGAAAGCCAGCTAGTTCTGCAAGTTAAAAGTCCATGATGTGTTATGATGTTGTTGGTGAATAAGAGTGTCAGCATTGGAGGGGGGGTAGAAAAACAAAGAAAAAGTTTGCAGTCATGCACAATAAAGCCTCTGTGGTGCTTCCCATGTGGCTGTCTGGTTAACAGGTCCTTTTGTTCCAGAGAGGAATTCTGTGTTACATTCCCTCAGAGGAGTAGAGCTTACTGCAGCGCCCTCCACAGGCTGACCTGGGACCTGTCAGGTCACTGGGGTAGATCATCTCTAAACACTTTAACCAATTAATCGTGTTGTAAAACTGCATCATATTACTTTCCACTGCATATTCAACAATTGATGTTGCATTTTTTCAGCTTGGATGCTCTCATTCAGGTTTTGGGATATGCTTTGTTTCTCAATATCTTCTAAGGAAATCTGTAACTGTCATGTTGCAAGGTGAAATTGTGTTAAACTGTAAAATTAGAAATTTGACTTGTGTCAGGAAAGCTTCAGGTTTCCGTCCAGGACGATGTGAGAAGTAAGAAGAGCAACCAAAACAATTATCTTTTAATATCAACCTATTAGATGTATATGTACAAAGTTAATGATTGTACTTTCGGGTACAATAGAGCTTTACAGAGGAGTGTCACAGTTCATGTTGAGTGTGAAAAGGACAATATAAAAAACACTTTTATCTGGAGGAAGTAGTACAAGGCATTTGTGTTATGCTGTGTGACTTTTTTTAATTCCATTATGACAACATCCATTTACACAAGCAACTCAAGGGGATGCATGGTAGTAAGAAAACTAATAGACATAAAAACACAATTTATACTTGTTCCTCAACATAATTATATCTATTTAACAAAAATAAAATCTATTCCTGATACTGTGGTACGGTATTACGAACAAAAAAAAATGTATTCTAAATAATACTGTCTGACACAAATATTTTGACACACACATATTTCAGACTGATGCAGAAAAAACATTAGACTTCGAAAATATTCATCCAAACAGACACATAAACAACAAGACCTGTGCATTCACTTAATGCTGTAGCCATGAGCGTAACATACAGTATACTATATTACTCAATATGCATACTGCACACATACACACATAATTATGAAGCTCTTATTTAGGTAGATGATCTCATATTTTGGGTCATGGAAATAACATGTTCACATTAAACAATATACACAACATTTCTTCCCCCCATGGGTGCAAAACTTAAACAGTTGCTGCAGTGTTTAAGAAGTAAAGCTGCCAAAATTATATATTTTACAGTTCATAAGTTGTTGGCACTTTTAGGATTTCTTTAGTAATTTCATTCAACTTCAAAATCAAATTGTCAAATCAGAGAGTGAGATGAGCTTCTGATCTCAGGTCTGAGAGAGTTTGATGCAAGATTTGGGTTAAAAAATACTCCTGCAAAAGTAATCAGAAAAACAAGTCAGTGCAAGATAAAACTAGAAACTTGGAATTAAATTAAATCAACATTAAGCTACAGCAAAATGCAGTTACAACCAAAGACAAAATGTGCATTTATGTTCATTTCATGAACGCTCACATCTCAGTAACTTGGTATAACTCCAACTATCAAATCTGTACAAACAATTCACATGCACTGTAGAGAACCTCGTTAAGAGCACAGTTCCTTTTGTTAAATGTCTATTTTCCTTTTATACCAAATGTTTAACTGCAGAGGCAATTTCTTGGAAAATAAATACAAATTTCATGGGAAGGTTTCACACACTAACAGGAAGTTGAAATCTGCAGGGTTTAGCCCACGTTTAGACCCTACCCTTAAAGTAGCATCTAATGCATCTGATAACAACTCCTAAATGTTTTAACATTGGCACAACTCACATTTTCCTTTTTCACTCGATCATTTTAAGCACACATGGAGAACACTCTAGACTGATGTCCTGTTGTACTGTGGTATGAGCTGGATAATAAAGTTGTGTTGGCATCAGTTTATCTCAGGATGTAGTGACTAAGAATGTATCCTTACTGGAAAACATGTTAATGACCTTACCATTTTGAGAAAGAACAGAGCATTTAACTGCAGTGTGATTACAGCACTGTGGTTCACACAACATCCAGTGGTGAAAAGAGGGAAAAACAAGTCTTTTAGGGAAAGCACAGGAGAAACCTTCATTAGAAAGTGTAATTCGCTATGAACATTTCCTCACACAAGTGCTTCATGCAATTCTACCATGCAGTCATATATAAACATATGCTTTGAGCATTTTACATGGCTTTGTGTCTGAGTGGATTTTATCCAAAAACAATAACACATTTTTCAAAATCATCTTTTCGGCTTGCTCAAGTGGAAGACACTCCTCATCTTTTCACGTAAGAGCAATATTATTATATCTATATATTTTATACTGCAGTTCACAGTTTGTAACAAAAATAGTACTTACAAAACACAATAAAGAAAGAGAGTAACATTTCACAGATAATGAAAATGCAGAATGTGACAATATTAATTAACTTAAGACATAATTGGGATATTAGTAATAAGTGCCCTAAATGCCCAAATTCCTCATTGAAATACACTATGGTGGTCAATGCCAATTCAAGGTTTTATAGGTAAGAAGAGAATATGGATTTTTAATTTCAGGTCTGGTAATTTCTCTTTACTTTTCTCAGTTTGTTTCTTTCTCATATAACAAGATTTCAACCTTCATTTCAAAAGTCTTATCGAAATGCCAGTGCATCTTAATATTTTCAACCCTCTGAGGATGGTACGATTCTTTGTTGCAGTGAGTAGTTTTTAAAATCACATAAGGTCTTGCTTCAGAACATGCACAAGGAAACCCAGCAACCAATACATGTACCACTTTACATCCTCACAGGATCCACCACAGGTGAATAGCAGGAAGGCTTTATCGCGGTCTCACACGCTGGTGCCCTTGTCTCTGAGGGAGGTGACTTTGCGCATAAACCTTCTGGTGCTCTGGCGATAGCGCGGCTGAGTGAAGTAAAACAGAATAGGGTCCAGAAAGCTGTTAATGCTGGCAAACGGCCGGGTGCTTTTATAGATGATGGAGAACAAGTTTCTAGTGTTGCAGGGCGCCGCGGGCAGGGTACGCACCACCAGGTACATGGTCTTTGTGAGGTGAAACGGCAGGAAGCTGATGCAGAACACTGTCGCCACCATGATGATCATCTTCACCGCCTTGTCCCGCTTCTCCCCGGTCGCCCTGGAAACCCCTTGGTAGGACACCGGGCGGCAGAGGACCTGGGCCATGCGAAAGTAGCACACCATCACACCCATGAAGGGCAACAGGAAGCCGAGGCAGGTCAGAGCCATGCCGTACGGATAGTAGGCCAGCGAGTTCTTCGGCGTGCTCAGATCATAACACACCGTGCGGTTCCTCTGGATCCCCGTGGCGGCGAAGTGAAACGTCGGAGCGCACAGGACGGTGACCACCAGCCAGACTCCTCCACAGATACCCCATGCCAGCCTGCGACCGCCCTGCTTTTGCCACATCGCCATTGGATGGCAGATGCCCACATAGCGCTGCACACTGATGCAGGTGAGGAAGAGGATGCTGCCATGCAGATTACTAGAAAAGGTATAAAGGGGAAAAACAGTTAGGTTAAATATTTTTAAAGGTCACCTATTATGCAAAATCCACTTTTTCATGTATTTTATTCATAAACATGTGTCCCCTCTGTGTAAAGAGATTCTGAAAGTTTCAGGAAAAAAGATTCTCTCTCTTTTTGTCCTGATCCATTTATATAAAAACCTGTCTGAAAAGGAGCTGATTTTGGCCACTTCATGATGTCATAATGATTCTTTTGGCTTGTGTAACCATTAGCCAATCACCAACCAAGGTAACCCCCCCACCCCCCACCTTATCACCTGAATCTCCTCCTAGAGCACCATTGTGTTCTTTTAAACCAAATATCTCTCAGAGGGGCGTGGGGAGTGGCTCCTTATTTTCATCTAAAGTAACAGACAGAATCAGTTCTTCTGAAACAGGGCTAAAACAGAGGGGATTATGGGATGCTGCAATGCATCTTGGGTATTTGGAGCCAAACACTTCAGAGACATGTATATATATCTGAGACCTATTATATATTGATGAAAAACAGTATAATAGGGGACCTTTAAAGCTTCATTTTTCTTTTTAAGTTTTTTAATTTCAATTGAAAGCAAATATGAACACAAAACTGCATACAGAGATAGCCACTCTTTAATAAGTAAAGTATCTCACCTGTAGAACTGAAACCTGACCATTTTACACGCAAACTCCCCAAATGGCCAGTAGTCGTGACTGGCGTAGTTGTAGATCAGCAAGGGAAGTGACATCACATACAGGAAGTCGGCTATGGCCAAGTTGACCATGTAGATGTTGTTTTTGGACAGATTGGGACGTGTCCTCCATATCTTCAGTATGACAACAGCATTGAGAGGAAGTCCCAGCACGAAGACTAAAGAGTACACGGCGGGGAGTAAGATGCGTTTGAAGTCCTCCTTGTAGGTGCAGCGGAGGATGCTGGCTCTGCTGATGTTGCTCAGGCTGGGGAGGAAGTCGCCCGCTGCGTACGGCTCTGTCGGCCATTCGCTGGAGGAGAACCCATCCGTAGGGAAGGTTTGGGAGATCAGAGCTTCTGTCGGGAATGAGTAGACAGGATGTGGCATCTTCACATCCTGCAGGAGAGACATGAGGAGTGGGTTAGTTGTTTTAGTTAGTAGTAGCATATTTGCTAAATTAGTTAGAGCACTCACTATAGTACGCCAGTTTTTTTTAAGACTGATTTCACTTGAAGGATACATTTTAGTTATATTCGTTTATTTACAATAACAATACAGATAAACATTGTTACTGTGAGCGATGAAATGCATCACCTGGCAGACATCCCCCGCCCCATCTATCCTCATTCCTTTGAAACCCTGACAATAAACCTCTTCTGGCTTATTTATTTAAATCTCTTCTTATGCATTCGAAACATTTATGGGTCTTCAATTAATGATCATAACACATCTAGCTGAAGCAAGATGGTATTTAAGGTAAGGCCTTTAAACTGAGGTTAAAAAACTAAATAGAACCCACAAAGGTCGACACTGTATATATGTATCTAATAGATACATATAGAATGTAGAATGTAGAATACATGTAGAATACATAGATACTATCTATGTATTCTACATGCCGTGTTTACATTGAAAAGTAATATATATATTTTTGTATTAGTAACAAGAGATAAACTCACCACCAGAGGGCACAATAGATCAATATGTGTTTGATTTATGTCATCAACATCTTCTTGAACCCTATCAACTCTGGTCGTATACTCATTATTGTACTTAAATGATAAAGAAGCAATCAAATCATTAAGTAATCTAAATTAGTATAAAAGGTCATTTATGTTTTCAAAGTAAAATCTTAATATTGAAAACTAATACAGCAGTTATCCTGTCATTTATTTGCACAGAAATAGGTAAACAAATGTAATGTGAGGCTACTCCTTACTGTTTTTGAGTACTCAATTACTTTCCACTGTTTCAAGTTGTAACAAGGTGGTCACTATAGTCGAACCACTTGCTAAATCAATAGAAAAACCACACCAAAAAAAGAAAAATGTCCCAGCCAGCCAGCTCATTATATTATGGTAATGTAATCCTTCTATCATTCTATAACAAGTGGAAGCTGGACAGCTAGATGTTTTGAAATGAAAACCACTGCAGACTGTCTGCTCTCCCACTCACAACACACACTGTCTGAACATGCTGCCGGATTAATAAACAATGTGAATTACTGCCCCCAACCAACATTAATCACATCAGTTTACTTCTTGGCAGCATGTGGGCGAATCAGTGATTGGCTTAAACCACTTCCTATTCAATAGACTTGTTAAGACTGCGACTCACAGTACGTCACATCAAAACATGTCCTCTCATAAATGTAAGTCTGTGTTTTTAGTGAACTCTCTGTGTGGGCGCATGAACAGTCAGTGACGCATTATTTTATAATCCCAGGTAGAGTGATTGAAGGAGAGGAGGAGTGAGAGAGAGCAGAACATTAAACATTTCGAGCAGGCAAAGAGGAATCAAAAGGTTTGGAAAGTGCACTTCGAGAGGCTTTATCTTCTGATGACTCATTTCTGAATTCAGAGTTTTTGATTTGTTTGCTAGCCTGTCTAAAGAAAGGCCTTGAGGAAAAATGGTCTTGCTATCTTAAAGACCAGCAACGTCAATAAAGTCAATACAATCTTTAAGCTTTCTGAAAACAAAGCACTTAACTCCATCAATCAAACTCGGTCAAAAATGCATTTGAGTAATTATGCCTAACTGTACCTCCAGGGATGAGGAGAGGTGAACACTTCTTTGTCTGACTTTGATATTGAAACGGCAATCCACACTCTCGCTTCTCCTCCTGTTTGTGAGGTTGTGTCACTATGTGGTTCTCAGTATTATTTACTGTGCCAAAGAAAAGGTCACTGGCAGGTCTGCTCCACTTAGTAATACCTTTAAGTTACCGACAATACAAGAAAGACAACACGCAATGTGGATCCTACAAGCCCTAGCAAGCAGAAGATTGATCAACAGATCAAAGCAAGGAATAAGTGCTGGGATCTGCCAAATGAAACACAACTCTAATTCCAATAATGATATCTGCACATCATCAGGACATCTATCATAGATCACTGAAGGAAGATATTAATTAGGGAGAAGCACTAAGCAGAAAGGTAAAACGCCTTATACCTTATCTACGGTGACTGCAAACGCGCTACCGCGGCTCAAAACACTTCCATTAGGAGAAACGCGATGCAGTTTAAAAAAATGATGCAAATAAAAAAAACTGAAATGTGCCAAAACACATGCAAATAGAGAAACACCTACAACAACTTGACAACACATGCACAGCGTTTAGAAAACATTCACTAACGTGCAGAAGAAATCCAGGGAGTTTACTAAAAGCGCTGCATAAACAAAACGCTGCACGAAGCTCAAAGCTATGGCAACAGGGACACTAAAAAGGGACGCACACAGCTAGGAATGGAGCGCTTGTTGACTTTCGGGGATTATAAAGTTATAGATAGCAGAGTAAATGTGCTTTATAATTGTAAGTGTTTTGTCAGTATACTTGAAATGACTAAGTTAGCTGAGTAGTTTACAGTAAATCTGCAGTAATATGGGAAGGAATCGAGGGGTCACATTGTTAAATGAATCCAATAAAACCTTTCCAGTGACAGTTGGTCAACTTTATAATGTCCACCGTACTTATCAGTTTAATATGTTTTATAAAAGCAATGTGGTGCAATGTCATTCAAAACTCAGTTTAAAATACTGTCTATGCCAAAATGATTTAAATGGATGCAGTTGATAAGCCTAACAGATGATCCCTTATGGGGTTAAAAGAAAATGTTCACCCCAAACAGATACACCCCAGAATGTTCCTTTGACACTTAATAACAGCAATGTGTTGTTTGTGTGCAGCTTTTATGACAGAGTATGTGTTTGATGTGGTCATGTATTCAATTTGCAGGTGTGCCTCAGGTGATACTCCCAGGATTGTGTGTGTGTGTGTGTGTGTGTGTGTGTGTGTGTGTGTGTGTGTGTGTGTGTGTGTGTGTGTGTGTGTGTGCGTGTGTATGTGTGTGTGTGTGTGTGTGTGTGTGTGTGTGTGTGTGGGCTTCTATGTGAAGTGTTTGCTTACAGCTTCCCTCCAGGCCGTATCCATTTCCTAATCGGCATTTACATCAATTTAATAGCGGCATAATAGATAAACACATTAAAAGGACAGCCTGAAAGACAAACCCACAGGGAAAAGATTCCTTTGGAAATCCCAACTACTCATTTCACAAAGTTAATTTAGTGTTTTTTTTTACATAGTGATGTGCTATTCTAAAAATAAATCAAAGATTGACAAATAATAAATGACACAAAGGTTTTTGGTGAACAGGTTGTTGCTTTTAGAGATTTCCCATGAAATAAAAATGAAAGTTATGTGTGTAATGAAGTCATTTTGAGCCACATGTTGACTGCATCACGACACTAACAGTAATTAAGACATTGCTCACCGACCCTTTCGCAGGAATTCATTTGACTGTCATTATGGGTGTGAGGCAGTCATCTGAGTTTTCTCTATGACTCAGTTTTCACTGCCCATAAAGTCGTAGTATTCTTGGCAGGGATTTTTCCTGAGAACTTGTCCGTAACTCTTCTCCTTAAACCTTTTATGTGGAAATAAAGACCTGTTTTCTGCTTCTGTAACAAGAATTCTGAACGCTGTTACAGTTAAACTACCTTGAGATGAAAATCCCATCTGAGCTTTTAATGATACCATATTTATCATTAAACATACATTCGATGTATATATCAATATAAATAATGAGGACTTCTGTAAGTGGAGCTCTACTACTAAGCATTCATATACGTATCTGAGGTAGAAGCTGTAAATGCTCTCATGAGTGTAAATGAAACAATGAGCAGATTAAAGGTTACCAACACTGCCTGGCAACAGCTATCATTTGATATCATGGGCAAAGACAACACACTCTGAATTTACAATGCATCTTGTAATCTTTAGAAATCCTTTTGCTCTTGAAACATGTAGAGACAAAAATCTCATTGGAGAATGCGGGCATCGATCCCGCTACTTCTCGCATGCTAAGCGAGCGCTCTACCATTTGAGCTAATTCCCCTGTGTGAAACAATCTTTAAAAACAGACTGCAAATCGCATATCAGTTAGCGGTACACACCCACAGGCCCGACACTCCCCCCCCCCTCACTCTGCACACTGCTGAAAACTCTCTGCCCTCAGGCAAGCTTAAGGTGACGTAAGATTATATTTAAAGCACCATAGCAAGAATGTGACAGCAACTCAGGACAAATTGAAGATTCACAACCTCACATAACCTAAGCAGGGTAGTGAACATCAAGTCTAACGTTTGAATGATTATTCGGTATGTGGATTTGGTATCATCAGGACTTTTGAACCTTGGTTAAGGTAACATGAGTCAACTGAAACTGTGTCAAGCTCTGATTAATCCAAGCTCAATTCCCAACAGGAAACAACACGCTGACACAGTTAGGAACTAAGAGTAGGGCCAAAGAACATTTCTATATACTTGTGTGTCGCAAGATTATGTTTTGCAGAGGTGGGAAATAACTAAGTAGGTACATTTACTCAAGTACTGTACTTAAGTACAATTTTGAGATACTTGTACTTTACTGGAGTATTTCCATTTTATGCTACTTTGTACTTCTACTCCAATACAATTCAGAAGTAAATTGTGTACTTTTACTCCACTACATTTATTGAATATGTTTAGTTACTTTACAGCTTCTGATTAATGATGTGAAATATAATCAACACTTAAATAAGATCTCAGTTCCACCTGGAGTAAATTCACAAGCTACCCTGCTGCATTAAAACTAGCTGCACCTTTACCAGCTTTGATAACACTTTAATGATCAATCATTATAATCAAAACATATAACATATATTATTCTGAAATGGACCAATCTGCAGAATGAGTACTTTTACATTTGGCACTTAAAGTATACTTGATCCTATTACTTTTGTAATTTAACTTGAGTAACATTTTGATTGCAGGACTTTTACTTGTATTCCCACACTCTGGTGATTCTACTTTTACTCAAGTACAAGATCTGAGTACTTCTCCCACCTCTGATGTTTTGT